TTTCTGGTGCTTTCACTTCCAGAGACAGTTGTAAGCACTGTGTAACTGCCTCGAGGGTGCTTGACCATTTTAACACAACGTGGTGCGATCATCCCCCTTGCGCGGAGCGAGGGTTCTCCACCCCGCACAACATGATCTACTCGACCACCATTATGGTTACCGCCAAAAAAAAAAACGGAGGAAAAAAAAAAAACGGTAACCTGGTTGCCGAGTTCACGAAGTGAATTGGCTTGTTTTACAACGTCTTTGCCAAGCGACGAAAACCCAATCCCGATGGCAAACACCGGGGGGGGCGGCTTGTTTTACAACGTCGTTGCCAAGCGACGAAAACCCAGCCCCGATGGCAAACACCGGGTGTAGGAGGGGGGGGGTTGGACCCCCTCCTGCGGTTCCTGCCTGATATATATGTCATCCAATGTACAGATGGCAAATCATTATTTGCCGACGGCGGCAAACAGTCGGTCACAACGGTCGTGATCGACACAAAAAAATAAAATAAAAACACGCACAACATATATTGCTACGGTATGTGCCTTTGATCCAGAGAGTAGCAGTAGACCCACCCATGACGCTCGGTCACAGGGTCCCAGATCATGACCTTCAGAAGCATTTTTTTTTTCGACCGCACTGAGACGGACGTCTTGTCATTGGTCAGCCGGTTAGCGCGGTCGATGCTAATAAGAAACACACGCACAAAGGCTTGAGCATCAGCACCTGTGTGCGTGTGCAGACGCCATCACCATTTGTTCGCCAATCGCGGCAAAGAGGTCACCACGGTTGTGGAAAAAAAACACACACGCGCACACTCACATCAGTTACAATCAATGGCATATACAAGTGTTTTGTGTTTTCAACCGCCTTGAGACTGACGTCTTTTATTGGTCAGCCGGTTAGCGCGGTCAATGCTAATAAAAATAAAGACACACTCCGAAACCAACACGCGTGTTACGTGGCTTAAAGACATGGTCACAAAAGGGTATGTGTGTGGTTCGTACCGGTATATTATTCGCTCTAGGTACAATATACTCCGGAGTATAATACTTAACTATTGATGTTTCAGTTTGGACAGGACTCGCGAGGCACGGGCACCCACCCAAAAGAAATAAATGGACAGCAGTGGGCCCTGTTTGCGCCGGTCGAATAGTGCCGGGTGCCCGGTGCAGCAGTGCTGGTGTTTTCGGCCGGCACACACTGAAATACCAAGCCGTTCGGTACTTTGAATCTTTCAATAGTGCCGGTGTCCCGTAAAATCTCTGGACACATACCGGCACCTTATGTATACAGGGCCCCCTACTGTACCACGTCAAAAAAGAAAGAGAACGAAATAAAACGCCAAAGGAAAGAGCCACGAATAGGGGGGGTTTAAGTTAGGGGGGNTCCCGCATCACCTCGAAAACCTCCGCCATCACCTCGGACGACCGGGACACGTTGGCGATCAGGCTGATTATCGACCTGAGGGCATTTCAGGCGGGCGGGCGGGGGGGGGGGGGG